CTTACATAGTTAATAGAGGATGTGGTTGTCCTGCAGATCTAACCTACATAAATGTTCCTTGATTTCATCAGCACAAGAAGAAGTAAATAAGTATAATTAAATCTCTTTCCAGTCTTGATATCATCAACTGTCAAACCCATTGGTGCTGCAAATACTTCACATATCTCTGTACGAATCTCATCTTCATTCATATCTGACGTTAACTCAACTTTTCCTACTAGCCCAGCTTTGCCAAGTGCTTCCCGTCTAGTAGAACGTGGAATGCTAATACTACCACTTTCAGTTTTAAATTCTTCTGGTAATAGGATAATGTCTCGAATATATGTCGTTGACTTGCTAGGTGCTGGCTTCTTCTTCTTCTAAAAACTTGAACGCGGGCTCTGGCTAAATAAAGATGGTGGTGCTAATTTGGTTTTTTTCATGTTGTGACACGAGGCTCTTTGGTATTCTGTATTATTCCTTGTAAGAGTACTACTGTGACCACTACCAGAAGGCATTTCTCCTGAGCGAGGTCCCGAGAATGGTGGCTGAGATGCAGGAGGTGTGGACTGCTCAAACGAATTCCTCACAGCATTCACAAGGGCACCAGCAAGAGCATCTACTGCTGACTGTTGAGTCAAATCACCAAAGTTGGCCATTTTAACAAACAAAACAAACTCAAGAGAGCGAAAGTCTCAAAGACGAACTGATGAAACTCAAACTAAGAACAGATCGGCATGGACTATAGTGAGCACGTGCTCCTGGTAACTGGCCGGTTTAGTCTGGTGGTTGATGCTTCTACCACGCCCACTGGTTCTTATCATTTTACGCCCACTCAGGCTGGGCAATGCTGAGTATTTTAACCAACTCAGGCAGTTCTCTACAACACAATTCACCAACTTCGCCATAAACAGCTAACACGTACCATTTTAGCAAAATTGAAAGTTAATTGCAAGTGGAAATAATATTGGTTCATTTGATTTTTTCGTTATGCTTTTCTGCTTGCAACTTATCTACCATTAATGCTTAAACATTGGTGCAAAAGCCCCAGCTCTAGCTTGCAGAGTACTCAGAAATGCCTGAGTTGACGTTAAATCTTGCAATTTTGCCACGGGCTCATTATTGTAATGCAATTCATAGTAAAAAGTTTTAAGTACTTAATTATGTCTAATATCACAATAAATTATCACTTTGCATCAAAGTAAACAAAAGAGCAACAGTATTAACAAAAATTTGCTGTCCATTATCATTAAAATGATCTAAAGGGTTGATGTTAGATTGCAGTAGGCTCAAACTATTTTCGCTAAGTTGTACCAGATTTGTAGGAACAACAACAGTATCCATATCCTGATTATCCTCACCGTCATTAATCTCTTCATTTTCCTCTTCTTCACGACCATAAACTGAAGGGTCAACTGTTTCATCGAATAAAGAACTACCTTGGGAATAACTATGATATAACTGAAGTGGAGACTTGTTATTTTCGGTTGATAAAGGGTGCGAGTTCCAAGCTTCTTGAAATAATTTCAATGACTTATTAATTCTAGGTATAAATACGTAATGCAATGCAAAAATGTCTGCTTCATTTTCACAGTCAAGTATACCTCTTTCTTCTAAGTCATGAAAAACTGCTTTATATGTAGAGAGAACTGATGAGTGAACATCCCTCCACAACCTTTCAATCCTGCTATTATGTACACTTGATCCAGCAATGAATGAACCTCTGCCTTGCCCTCTAATTTCCTCTATATGCTGCCAAACTCGAACATTTTCACCACCATAGTCAGTACGAACCCTTAATGGAAGACCGTATTCAGCTGATGCATTAATAAAACACTCAAGAACAGTGTCAGATCTATTGTTGTTTGAGCACTTTAAAAAAGTAATCAAGTGGGTAAAGCCATCTACACAGCCATGGACAACTAATCGCCATTTAATCAGCTTGTGATTACTGTCTAGGTGCCACAAGGCATTAGGACCTGAAACACTGTATGTTCGACAGTGAATCGAGTGAGCAATGGTATGCCTTCCTCGGACTCTATATATTGCTTCTCTCATGCAAGCTCTTTGTATAAGTACCTATAGAAATATAAAATGACATACCATAAAATGGAATCTTAGCCTGAAACTAAAAGCCCACATCTAACATTAATTGTTAATGAAATAAAATCATGCAGGCCACCCCAATTAGATTCATACTTACAGGCCTAATACAGATCAGTACGGTTTGATATAAAATTATAAATCAATCATTCACTAAATTCAATTCAGTTTCACCTGACCTATTGATTTTTTGTTATAACTTTTGATTAACATAGAATTTAGAAATTTTGTTTGCACCATTAGAATCGCTAGGTTCTTCCCGTCCTTTAGATAAAAAGATTGGGTCAAAATGATAAGGCCTTAGCCTTTTTGGATGTCCCTGTATAAACTCAATGACATGCCTTTGACCGCAATTATGCAGCTAGAACAGCCAGAATAAATTCAGCTGCTACTTATCTGCATCCCTTCCGTGCAACAAAAACAATTCCAAAACCACCACAAATATGTAAAGAATGCGGATGTGATGTAGTATTTATTAATTGAAAAAAGCCAGGGGTCAGTGAATGGACTTTAATTATGTCAAACACTACTAAATCTAATTGGAGCCTGTATCACTGAAACTAACCTTCTGCGAATGTAAATGGCCCCTGATCATTGCCTCTCCATAGTGTGGAAATTGCTGTAGTACCTCTGATATTAAAGCGTCTAGATCTGCATCAGATATCTCAGTAAATGACTTCATTCCCCACTCTTTTGACCTTCTCTGAATGGTTTTAGAAGAAACGCCAAGTAGGTTTCCAATATCTTCCCACGTAAACTTTAAGGACCTTAAGTGTTCCATCCTCTCTCTATCAATATGCACTTTTGGCCTGCCTTTAGCTGGGCCAGATTCTTCCGTGGAGTCAATACTCGCCATTGTGGTATATAATGGGTTTATTATTATTATTGTTATTATTATTATTATTATTATTATTATTATGACTTCAACACACAGGACAAAAAGTAAGGATTAGTAAAATAAGAGATAGGACAGGATAGAAGTGTTGAAGGACTGGCTCCAATTACTGAAGCAACCTTTATAATAGAGTAAGACTGACAAAAGAATGATAGAAACAAAATTTAAGTACGTGAACAAGAACTGCAAGGACACAATTAGCCATATTGGTCTTTCAATTTTCTTTAGCCTTTTTTTAATTTTCTGTGGCTTCACCAGCTCTAAAAAAGGCATAAAAAGCTATAGTGAACTAAAAGAAAATTGAAAGACCAAAAGACCTCACCAAGCTCTTAACGCCAACTCAGGCAGGTATCTTCCACGCTAGAACTTAAGTTTTCTCCATCATAATTCCCCAATTTCACAATAAACCACCCTGTATGGCTAATAGATATTGTTTAAGCAAAAATAAAAATTAATTGCAAGTGGACATAACAAAAACCTTCTCAGATGCAGGATTATCTGTATCAGTGATCGATACTACCAGAGTCAGATTCAAGTAGTTCTTCTGCCATGTCTGCCTGAGATTCTGCCATATTCTTTTGCAAACATGTGCTACGAGTGGGCGTGGCTAAAGTATACGACGAAATAATCGATTTCTTCATCTCCTTGCTGCTAGTAGCCTCGTGTATGTACAGGTATGTATTAAAAGTGTTTATTTTCATATAAATATGTGTGTATCGAGTATACACGTGCAATCTCTGCAAGCCACAGACTCTTGTATCAAAGAAAGAGGACAATGATCCAGTTGGAGAATTATTAATTTTAGTTAGCAGCTAAAATTGGAGTGGTAAAGACAACACCGACCATTATTTGTTGTATGGGAATAGGTAATGGTGTTGGTTTGAATTTATGTGACACTGTACTTCATACCTGTACTCTGATTTTCTCTTTTTTTGTCTGGTGTCCTTTCTGTCTTTAATTCCATCTACTTGCATGATAATTGGTGGCATTCACACATTTAGTCTGTAACAGGCTGAGCATGTAAATTAAGGGACCAAATTCATTCTATTCAAGTACTTAAAAAGAAACTCAGAACACAAAGTAACAATTGTATTGTGAAGTGATTATTAATGCTCATCAAAAGAACTCAAACTCTCAGAACTTCTCAAAAATCACACTTATATATATTTATATCCTAATAAAGCCAATCATGAAAGTGACCGACACTAGTATATAAGTGATAAAGCAACAGGAAGCTGTATATAGTACTTTGATGTTTGATACACCTGTCTGTGGTTTTATTCATGAATTCGATTAAGTACAAGCAAAAAAACTGATTAAATAAAGGAGATTAAATAAGTGATACATAACATGAGTAAATTGTCTGTT